AACCTTCTTCAACAGTGAAGAAAGCAAAAATGACCTATTAATGCATTGGGTGTTGAATCTGCAGCCATGTTTCCTGTTAATTTTGCATATTTAAGGGAAAGACAATGTTATAGTCAATGTCTTCTCCCAATGTCTTCTCTAGGTGTAAGATATATTTAATGATTTTCATAGGGAACATGAATAAGTATATTCCTTTTTCTTGACTACGGTGAGCTTTTAGTGAAAGGGACATTTTGCCTTTCTTAGCACTACTCTCAAGTGTCTCTCCTTGTGTTAGTGTTCTGGATGGACACTGATACTTATTTGTGTGTCGCCTGTTGAGTGGTGTCAGCTGGGGTGGGTAGAGGAGAGGAAGGTAGGCTCTTAGGCTTTTATATGTAAACCATAGCGGCATCCTACAATAAACATGACTCTTGTGGTACCCGACTCTCAGGCCGTCAGCTGGCGTGCGTCTGTGATTTTTGTTATTCACTATTTATCATTAAATTGGCTTGTGATAAAATCCTTGCATATATGTTCCTGGGTTCTAAGCGATGAACAACCAAACTACGGAATCTAGAAGAAGAATGAACTACCCTAATCCACAGTCCTAAAGAATAGCTTGAAACCTTAGGGACTGATGCTTCTGGCCAAAGATCTGAGGCTCTGGACTAGGGATCTAAAGATCTGTCCAAGGCCTGGCTTCAGCGCTCTGAGCAGTTAAAACTGAGATCTTCCGCGCTCAATAAGCATAGTGCTCTATCATTGTTTGACTTAAGAGGGTGGTGGTGATATTTTGCTTGTCACGAGATACATGAAAATATTTCCTAACATATTAATAGTCATAATATGACTCAATCATTGGAGGCTTTTTGTCATTTGACTAATGCGCTCTGCTGGCTTCCCGCTCCAACTAGTGAAAAAAAATAATGATAACATCATAAGATGTGATAGGATTTTCACCCCAACAAAGAATTACCACACGATAGTCTCGCAGAACTGTTTAATTTAAGAAGACTTCGACACGGTTCCAGGTACAGACCCTTGGTGACCCCGTTGGGATTGATTGTTAAGCATTATTACCTTAATGGTGTACAAGGTTGACAGTTTAAGGAATAAAACACATGTGCAACGCCAGGGTATCTTCATTATGTAGACGTTTTGTCAACCACCGAGATAGAGAAAGAGAAAGAGGGATAGATAGATAGATAATAGAGAGAGAGAGAGAGAGAGAGAGAGAGAGAGAGAGAGAGAGAGAGAGAGAGAGAGAGAGAGAGAGAGAGAGAGAGAGAGAGAGAGAGAGAGAGAGAGAGAGAGAGATCCTAAAACACGAATTTCTTCTGTACAAAGTTTACTGGGCCAAGAGTTTCTCCTGAGATGATGTTTTGAAAAGTCTGCTGGAAGACACAAGAGTAGCTGTCGATGAACGTCATTATATCTGCTGTGTGTAGGCCTGGCAGATTTAAATAAAGATATACAACGGTTTGAATAGTTTAAGCTATATTTCGCACGTCAGAAGTTTCATCAAGCTTCAGAGGCTTGATAAAGCTCCTGACAAGCGAAACGTAGCCTGAACAAAATATTCAGAACATTGCATAAGTGTTCAATAATACATGTGTAACACTCTAGACTCTTTATATATGAATTTAAAAAGCCACTGGTTGGCGAAACATCAGCCTCATAAACACAGATACCCAGGTGTTGCACATGTGTCTTATTATCACCTTGACCACCATTAATGTGATGATTTATGTAGATGGTAGAGTTATACCTAATTCTCAGTACCTAAAAACTTGCCTGTCTGAAGACACTGGGAAGTGTGCTGGGAGAAACACCCTGAGTAAACAAACACTGGAATTCTTGCTGAGATCAATATTTCAGTAGATTGTCTTTGAAGATTATTAAGTTCATAACAATAATAGTAAAATAATAACAATAATAATAATGATATTATATATATATATATATATATATATATATATATATATATATATATATATATATATATATATATATATATATATATATATATATATATATATAATATAATATATATATATATATATTTATATATATATATATATATATATATATATATTTCGTAGGTGCCATAATTAATTAGCGCCAGCCTCAGAATATTATCAAATACACTACGCGAGTTTCGGCGCGGAGCTCCAAGATCAATTATATACTAAATATACCAATTAATTTGCATATTCCAGGGTCTATTACACATTACTGTTTCAATTTTGCCAACGTGTGCGTGTTGCATATTGAGCATCATATTAGATATAACAGCACCAGCACTGCCTAATGGGTTTATTACTAGTTAAATTGGTCATGTACTGATGAGATTATTGAATATTATACACTAATTGATACGGTATATCAGCGGCTACCGCTAGCAGCTAAGTGCTTTATCCACATGTTCAGAAGGTGTCTATAAGAGCGTTGAAATCTGAGTACGGTATCCTGGGACGCTACTTTCTGAGTGGATACAGGATCAGAATGTATCTAAAAACTCCTTGAGACTTGAGTACAGGATCCTAGGAGTTTACTTTTTGAGCAGATACAGGATCAGAATGTTTCTAAAACCCCATTGAGACTTGAGTACAGGATCCTAGGACTATACTTTGTGAGCGGATACAGGATCAGAATGTATTTAAAAGTCTGTTGAGATCTGGGCATGGGATCCTGTGACACATCTTTGTGGGTGGATACAAGATTAGTATGTACATAAAAATGTGATAAGATCTGCGTATGTATCCTAAAAACGCTGCTGCGCGGATACACAAAGATCAGAATACATCTGATAGCGTGTTAGGGTCTGAACATGATAACTCTGGACACTTTCGTAAGGACATATTCGCAGGACTGAAATGTATCCATTCAAGTGTCAAGACCTTCAGTGTAGTATGCTAGGCCACTGTTCTGCCAATATTGTCCTTTTAAATGGGCCGGAAACCAATTAAAACATCTTATGATATGAGGTTTAATTTTTGACACTTGACACCACCACTACCACCACCACCACCACCACTACCACCACCACCACTACCACCACCACCACCACCACCACCACCACTACCACCACCACCACTACCACTACCTCCACCACTACCACCACAACCACTTGCCACCACCACCCCTACCACTACCATCACAACTACTACCCCCACCACTACCACTACCACCACCACCACCACTGTTACCACCACCACCACCACTACCACCACCTATACCATTACCACCACCACCACTGTTACCACCACCACTACTAACACCACCACTACTATCACCACCTGATGATGGTTAAGTTCTAACAACGAAACTAATCTCAGAGCCAAGGTTTGTGAGCTAAGAGGACATTGCCTCGAAACAAGCCTGAGAGTTAAACCTGATAACATTGTAAGATAGAAGGAATTAAGACCCAGGGGGGAGACATGATGACCAGATAAACCAGGAGTGACATGATGATGAGCAGATAGACCAAGAGTGAGATGATGATGATGACCAGATAGACCAAGAGTGACATGATGATGACCAAATAAACCAGGAGTGACATTATGATAACCAGATAGACCAGGAGTGACATGATGACCAAATAGACCAAGAGTGACATGATGATGGCCAGATAGACCAGGAGTTACATGATGGTGACCAGATAGACTAGGAGTGACATGATGATGACCAGATAGACAAAGAGTGACATGATGATGACCAGATAGACCAAGAGTGACATGATGATGTGTAACATATTGAGAGGAATTAATATGGCGGACAGCGACAGACAGTTCGACAGGAGGAAAACAGGAACACGAGGACACAGCTGGAAGGTAAAAATACATACGAGTCACTGACACGTTAGGAAATATTTCTTCAGCCTCAGACTGGTCTAGAAGTGGAGTTATCTAAACATGACAGGAATCATAAAGCCAGAAGAGAGTGAACCTAGTAGCGGCTAGCTGAGAGGCGGGATCAGGAGCTGAAACTCGACCCTGCAGTCACAGACAGGTGAATACAGACACACACGTTCACATAAGATGAGCCACAGGGATGCCAGGAAGTATCTCTTCAGTCTCAGGGTGATTACGATGTAGAATGACCTGGCGGAGGAAGTGGTAAAGGAAAACGAGACTAAGAGGGAGTGAATCTGGCAAGCGACAAGTTGAGCGGCGAGACCAGGAGCTACGAATTGACCCTTGACCCCTGCAGCTAAAAATGAGTGAACGCACACACACACACACACACACACACACACACACACACACACACACACACACACACACACACACACACACAGGGTTCATCACTTCATCGTCTGCACATTTTCATATTAAGGATATATATATATATATATATATATATATATATATATATATATATATATATATATATATATATATATATATATATATATATATATATATATATATATATATATATTATAGGTAGTAGGTTGGTAGACGGCAACCACCCAGGGAGGTACTACCGTCCTGCAAAGTGAGTGTGAAAAGTTAACCTGTAATTTTTTTTTACATGATTCTACGATTGCTGGTGTCCTTTTTCTGTCTCATAAACACGTAGTATACCAGGTATGTCTTGTTACTTCTGTTTACACTTAGGTTATACTACATATCCATGTACATGTTAATATATACATACTAGTCTGGGTTTTCTTCTATTTTCTTATTTGCTCTTGTTCTTTATTTCCTCTTATTTCCATGGGGAAGTGGAACAGAATTCTATCTCCGTAAGCCATGTGTGTTGTAAGAGGCGACTAAAATGCCGGGAGCAAGGGGCTAGTAACCCCTAAATTTAAAAAGAAAAACTTTCGTTTTTCTTTATAGGTCACCCTGCCTCGGTGGGATACGGCCGGTTTGTTGAAATATATATATATATTATATATATATATATATATATATATATATATATATATATATATATATATATATATATATATATATATATACATACATATATACGTGTAATAATAATAGTAATCTTAGACTAGGTCTTACCAATACTCTCAACACATTCAACGCTGCACCGACGAAAAATCCACAACAAAACTTTGAGCGCTTGCCAGGTGTTAGTAGTTGAGGTCTTCACACACCTGTACCACAGCCTGGCGACTCTTGTTGCTTGGCACTCCCTCACCCGCCCACTTTCCCCGCCCCTCTTGCCACCAAGTTGACGGTAAGTCTTCTGTACGTCTTGGTGTGGGAGGCGCTGGTTCCTTGGTGTGGGAAGCGGTGGTACTGGTGGTTCCTTAGTGCGGGAGGCGGTGGTACTGGTTTCTTGGTGTGGGAGGGGAAAATACTGATGGTTCCTTGGTTTGGGAAGGGGTGGTTCCTTGGTATGGGTGGGGGCGGTACTGGTTGTTCCTTGGTGTTGGAGGGGGACGCGGTACTGGTGGTTCCTTGGTGTTGGAGGGGGATGCGGTACTGGTGGTTCCTTGGTGTTGGAGGGGGGGTGGTACTGGTGGTTCCTTGTTGTTGGAGGGGGCGGTACTGGTGGTTCCTTGGTGTTGGAGGGGGCGCGGTACTGGTGGTTCCTTGGTGTTGGAGGGGGGCGGTACTGGTGGTTCCTTGGTGTGGGAGGGAGCGGTACTGGTGGTTCCTTGGTGTTGGAGGGGGCGGTACTGGTGGTTCCTTGGTGTTGGAGGGGGCGGTACTGGTGGTTCCTTGGTGTTGGAGGGGGGCGGTACTGGTGGTTCCTTGGTGTGGGAGGGGGCGGTACTGGGGGTTCTCAGCGTGGGAGGGGACCAGCTACATATGGGGCTTTACGCTAAGGAAGAGCACACACATTCAGAGCTTTCACGTGTTACCATCAATTTCAAGAGTATCAATGAGGCTATTTTGTTACCACTCTTATTAGTGTTTTCACTTAGGCTCTTAAGCTAAATTTTCAACGTCACCCGTATAAATCTATTTTCTTATATATTCTTTCGGTAAATATATTGTAGATATCACTTTTATAATCATTTACACAAGCCAAGAGTTTTTTCCAGCATTATAAAGCCTAACTTCCGTACTGAGGCAGAAGTTAGGTCCCCGTTATACACCCACAAAAGCAGGAGCAGAAGTTAGGTTCCCGTTATACATCCACAGAAGCAGGAGCAGAAGTTAGGTCCCCGTTATACATCCACAGCAGCAGGAGCTGAAGTTAGGTCCCCGCTACACTCCTACATCAGCAGGAACAGGAACAAGGCCCCCACCATACACCCACAGCAACAGGAGCAGGAATAAGGTTCCCACGATACACCTACACCAGCAGGAGTAGGAGCAAGGTCCCCACCACACCAACGACAGCAAGAGCTAGGTCCCAACCATACACCTACACCAGCAGGAGCAGGAGCAAGGTCCCCGCCATACACCGACAGCAGCAGAAGGCCGTCAGCAGAGGTAGTGTGAGTGGGTCGCTGTTTGTATCTCTCACAGGAACCGCCCCTCGCTGACTACCCACCCACCACAGCCACTCACACTCCCGCCCTAACCTACCTCCCTACCTATCAGGCTAAAACAACGCATGAAATAAGATCAATTGCTTTCAAATCACTATAAATTATATTCCCTAAATCACAGTAAAAGCCGCGGCAACTGAGGAACGGCCAGAGCTGGTAAAAACAAGCAGGCTGTTTTAAGTTTTGTCCAACGGGTTGGAACAGCGACATCATTACAGCTATGGTATATGTGGTTTGTTTCCCTAAGTTCGCTCATTAGTGTAAGAATCGCCGTTGGAGCAAGCCTCACTCTCGTAACAGTCACATGCGTCAGAACAAAACCATATTCCTCAACAAATAATCAATGTTTAGAATGGCTGCAGCAGCAGCAGCAACAACACTGGGTATAACATCCCACAACGTGTTCACCCACCCTCTACAATCCTCGCCCCGACACTACCAACTAACAGAAAATGATATCAGAGCCATAAAACGTCATATCTATGCTAGTATCTCTTAATTCCCACGTGATATAACACTAACTGCCATAGCAAGTGTATTAGAGTGTATTTGTGTGAGGAGGACCCGGCTGCCGGGGCTGGCCAAGTGCAGTTTATTAGTCTATGAGGCGGAGTCAAGCAGGGGGGAGGAGTCTACAGAGTAGCCAGATTTATTTTGCTCATATTATTTTATTTGGTCGGTTTTTGTGGACTCTTTCGATTGTTTTGTGGTGGAGTGTTGCATGGTTGTTTGAAATGAGGATTGGTGTTTTAGATTTCGTTCTTAGTCGTTAAAACGTTATCTCTATCATGTTAAAATTTTTGTTTACATAAATGATTATATGAGCGAGGCAGATTACATTTGTTTATATTATTTTTGTTGTTAGTGGTCCATGTTATGACACAGGTTAGGTCATATACATAAATGAGGGCTAATTACCTAGATAAAATTGAAGATAAATAAAATAAATGTGAATATTGTGAGATTATTAATGTACTTGTTTCTGTGTCTGGCAGCGCGGCGTGAGTGGAACTTGTTGTTCTGCAGTGTGTGAAGGCAGTCAGTGTGCGGGACGGAGCGAGAGCGAGCGTATGTTGCGTCCCGGAAGGTGTGCTTGTGTGAGTGTTGGCACCCGTGCTTGTGCGTCCTTGCAGTCAGGCACACTGCCAGTGACACTTGTGATAACCGTTGCTAAAATAGACTGTCGTAATTGCAAGGAGCTACATTTGACCCTGAGAGCGAATTCCCGCGCCTGGCGACCACATCTGGCTGGGCCAGCCGTGGCCGACCTGACCTGACCTCCATCATGGCCAACCAACAGTTTTGTTTACGATGGAACAACTACCAGAGCAACCTGATGCAAGTTTTCGACGAGTTGCTGCAGACGGAGAGTTTTGTGGACGTGACACTCTCGTGTGAAGGAAACAGCGTGAAGGCTCACCGCATGGTGTTGTCTGCGTGTTCCCCGTACTTCCAGTGTCTCCTGAGTGATGCTCCCTGCTCACACCCTGTCATCATACTACAGGGGGTCAAGTGGCCTGAACTCAAGGCAGTGGTGGAGTTCATGTATAAGGGAGAGATCAACATCTGCCAGGAGCAACTAGGGTCACTGTTGCGGGTGGCAGAGTCACTGAAGATCAGAGGTCTGGCAGAGGTTGATGGTGAGGGAGCTGAGCCAGCAGTGATCACTTCACCCTCTGTTTCGCCCATCGCTCGTGCCTACCTCAACGCCCTCGACGACAATTCGCCCTCATCAATCCTCGCCGCCGCCGCCCGCAAACGACGCCGGTTGTCTGGTGATGAGCTGAGCCGCCCCTGCACGCCCATGACGCCCACCAGCGTGCCGGAGATGATGGAAAGCTCACTTGACTTGACTGGGCCGCTCATCCGTGGTGGCCTCAACAACCCCTTGCCAGGGTCACCACTGACTACCCTGGCGGCCCGCCTGCCAGGTGCCATGCCGCCCCCTGCACCCATGGCACCTCACCTGACCCACCTGCCGCCCCTCTCACCACTGCTCAATATGCACTCTATGCCCCGCCCGCACGTGCCCGACGACTTCGAGATTCGACCCGGCATCGCCGAGATGATAAGAGAGGAGGAGAGGGTAAGTAACCTCACCTGGGAGGGAGGTGCCACAGCGTGGCACTGCATGGGACACTGGCACCCTGCATGGCTCGCACCACGTGGCCCTCCCACCCACCACCATCACTCATAATGTTCTCCCGTCTAGAGCACGGTTTACAAAGATTTGCGATAGTGTTGTGAATATGTAGGAGACCAGACGATAATCTACTTGTAGCTCGCACCTGCCCGGGAAAGTAGGGGAAGGGAGTGTTGGAGAACCACATGTCTACAACTTTTCTATCCCTCTCGTTCGTGTTCGTGTATTCTTGATCCACAAAAACCACATTGCAGAAAACATACTTTCACAGGGAGAACGCTTCGTCTTGTGAAAAACTTACCAAAGTCATAATTTGACATGAAGCTCCATGTAGCAAAACGTTGTTCTGATCAAAAGCATTACTTAGTCTGCAACTTAAAATTGTGACAGCCGCGGCGAGCCAGCCAGCCACACCACTCATCTCAGAGTCACATCTCGTCTGCTCAATAAAAAGATCTTGAATTAAACATATCCAGATGACATGCAGCTTTGTCCTGAACACGAGCTCTGGAACGACCGGTCTCGAGGTGGGAACGACCGGTCCCTGGGTAGTGAACGATCGGTCCTTATCTAATGAAAGTCTGGGTTCAAACTATCCCCAACCCCCCCAAATCATTATAACCAGTTTCCAGCAGGCGTTTATGGGAACTTACGTAGCAACTGAGAACGGAAACCTGGGGACGAAACTAATTGAAATTGTCAATGAAACTATCTGCGGCTCAGAATAGTTCCAAAAAAAAAAGTCCAAGAAAGTTCTAATCCTGGAACTTTGAGTGTTGTTAGTGTTGTTGAAGAAGCGCTGAACCCATTGGTGTCATACAGCGCTGTGGAATGAGAGAGGTTTGATCCAAGGTAGGAGAAAGCAACATCAAAACACTACCTTGAAGGGGTGTGTTGCTGGAGAGTGCGTGCGTGTGTGTGTGTTTGTGTGTGTGTGTGGGGCTGGCGTTTGTGTTGGTGTGGGACCGGCCGCCGCCGCTCTGTACTGGACTCACGGCGACTTCAACGAGTGTCATCAGTGAGGGGAAAAAATATCTGGTACAATTTCCGTGTTTAGTCGCTGTAGGGATTAGGAACAAAATTAGTGATGCATAGATGTGTAGGTACGATGCCTCACAGGTCGTGAGGGAGATTATTGTGGTGGATGAGTGGTTCAGAGCCCCACAGAACGAGGGCTTTTGTGGCAGATGAGTGGTTTAGAGCCCCACAGAACGAGGGTTTTTATGACAAATATTTCAGTCCTACAGAACTAGGGTTATTGTGGTAGATCTGATTCATAGTCCCACAGAACGTGAGGGAGGTTTTTGGAGTCAAGGTGTGGTTCAGAGCCCCACAGAACGTGAGGAGTCGAATGACGTATGTGTCGCCCAGAGGACCACAGAACGTAAACACTATTTTTGGCAGGTGTAATCCAGACTCCAACAGAACGTAAGATAATTTTGGCAGAAGTGTAGCCCAGAGCACAACATGTGCAGTTTTTGTTACTGAAACAACAAAGCCTAGAAACTAAGAATGTGGAAGTTGTGGCTACATTAAGTGTATAACCCACAGGCTTTTATGGTTAATATAGCAAATGGGTAACCCAGGGCCCCACGTGAGGGAGGCTTTTATGGCTAGTGTAAACTAAGAATGTGAAATTTGTTGCTAGAGTAGCAGACGTAGTAACCCCACAGAACGCGAGGCTTTTCCGGTAGGATTAACAGTGTGAAACCCAGAACCCAAGAAAAATGAGACATGGTGCTATAGTAGTCCAGAGCTTCACAGAACGTAAAACTTCTTGCTAAAGCAGCCTATGTGTAGTTCAAAACCCCCAGAGAATGAGAGGGAGGGTTCGTTATTACGTGATGAAGGAACCCGCGGTAGACCTTATTTGCATTCATTAGTTAAATACCTTCCCTAGCATACAAGTTTCGGGAACTACCGAGTGACAGTTAAAATTTGTAATATTACCAAGATCTTAATGGCTACTAAAATGATTATAATGGGAAATGTGAGAAGGCGGTGACGCATTCAGGTACTCCCCCCCCCCCCCCCCCCAAAAAAAAAAAAAAAAAAAACATGATGTAAATGGTTTAGAAAACCGAGAAGTTGAATAATGAGACTTTTACAACATTTGGGAATCTTTATTGTGGAAAGTTGCGTTAGCCAGGGCCTTCTTCAGTCCAATACAGAGAAGACCGGGACTGATTGCCTCAGACTCCTCATCTTCCACGGTTTTTCTCTGTGATGGAGTGAAGAAGCCACTGGCTGGCGAAACGTCTCCACAATAAAACTTCCTAAGTGTTGCATAACAGTCTAATTCCTCAAAATAAAACAAGCCAACACTGCAGATCGCGTAAGTTTCCTCCACCATTACCAAATAAATTGCCAGACAGACAGATCTTAAGGAGAGAGAGAGAGAGAGAGAGTGAGTGTGTGAGTGAGAGTGAGTGAGTGTGTGAGTGAGTGAGAGATATCAGTGGAAGGCCTGTTAGCTCAAGCGTTGCAGCAGCTCTGTGTGCTCAGAACATCTTCAATCTTAGCTTGAAGCTGTCCAGTATAGTTGCGTCAGTTCAAAACACTCGACTCCATCTTCCAGTTTGTATAGTGAAGGTAGCTTGCCCATACGAGCCATACCCTTCAAATTAAACACACTCCCAGCATCGAAATGTCACGGCCTATCCAAGCACTATCATAGCTAATTAAAAAAAAAAAAAAGAGGGAATGGTGTGCGTGCGAGCGCTCATACCCACCCACTATTCTTTTTCCTCTATATGTACTGTAAGAGGGACATAATTCTGAATTAAAAATGAATTCTACCAACGCTGGTATGATTCTGAAAGATGGTAGTTAATTGAACGTTAAGTAAGTTTATAGTATATATTAATATAGCGCGTTGAGTTATTTATCGATTGCAGGTTTTACATGTGTGCATATATATATATATATATATATATATATATATATATATATATAATATATATATATATATATATATATATATATATATATATATATATATATATATATATATATATACATATATATATATATATAAATTGAGGATGGATATGTCTGAGTATTTTCTTCCCACGGTCCGATCTCAGCCTTGGCCTCTAACGTTAGAGAGGAACTATTACAGGATTAAAAACGACTGAAGTGCACACACGAAAATAAAGGTATGTGTATACTGACTTAAGTATTATTAAAAAAAAAAAAAAAAAAAAAAGTCATCTTGCGTGTTCATGAGTCAGAAAGAAAAGATCAGCAATCTTGCCAATGTAAAAAAGAAAAAAAAACAGGTTTTCATTTCGCACTTGACAGAATGGTAGTACCTCCCTGGATAGGGTTTGTGTGTGTGTGTGTGTGTTATAACTGAAATTAATTAGTAATAAACAATTGTCTGTGAATAAACGTAAGTGTCAATTTACGGACCGTGGTTCGAGCCCCTCGCCCACTTTTCTGTTTATATATATATATATATATATATATATATATATATATATATATATATATATATAACAAAAAAAAGGCACAATACCGTGACTGGAACGATACACAAATAACCCGCACATAAGAGAGAAGCTTACGACGACGTTTCGGTCCGACTTGGACCATTGACAAAGTCACACTGTGTGACTTTGTCGATGGTCCAAGTCGGACCGAAACGTCGTCGTAAGCTTCTCTCTTTTATGTGCGGGTTATTTGTGTGTGTGTGTGTGTGTATATATATATATATATATATATATATATATATATATATATATATATATATATATATATATAATATATATATATATATATATATATATATATATATAATATCGTGCCGAATAAGGCAAGCGAAAATTTGTGTATGCAATAATTTAGCAAAAATCATTTTTAAGTTAAGGAAAAAATATATTTCATTGTGTTCGTTTATTATTAAGTTATCGTAAACTTATCTAAAATATATATAGTTGGATTAGGCTAAATTAAATTGCACTTGTTATAATAAGGTTAGGTAAGTTTTCTAAGGTTCATTTGGTACAAAAATATAAATTTTTACATAAGCATAAATGAAAAAGAAATATCTTTAAACGTACAAGAGAAAATTTTAGAAAAGACTTAATTTTGAATGAATTCTTGATAATTGACCAATTTTACCTATTCGGCACGACTTATATATATATATATATATATATATATATATATATATATATATATATATATATATATATATATATATATATATATATATATATATATAATTTTTTTAATTGAGCATCGGTCAGTCGATTTTTTTTATATTCGACATTAAAATGCTTTCACGTTAATGTATCAAATTTATTTCCTGCAGCAAGAACTTCAATATAACTCTTCCGAGTAAATGCTTAAATATTGCAGACGTGTTATTAAGAATCTTCCCGTCCAAGTTTTCTGTAAATGATACGTGTCCGGGCCGTCCTCTGGGGACCACCAGGTTTCTTAGTTGCCACAGTAAGACATCCTTCCCCACCGTTAATAAGGCTTTGTTCCTTTATGTAAAGCAAATTTTCATTCGTTGGATGGCAAAAAAAAAAAAAACTTACCTCAACGAAGCCACTTGGTGCTATTGAATATTTGTTTATTATTAAAAATGCGCCTCCACACTCGTACGTCTTCAACCCAGCCTTTCCATCTCAAGACTGCCGCTATAAAAGGCTTTCCCTTGATAAAAACATGACCCCTGGTCTAAAGCATCACCTCCTGTACAGAGACATCTCCATCCCCAGTCAATGAGGCATCTCCCCGGTCCCCCACACACACGTCAAGTTCCCTCAACCCTCCTTCCCGCTCACCTTGACAGAAGCAATAGGTATTGATCTTAAGGTTAATACATGGCTTACCGGAGTAGGAGAGGGAGGGAGGGAGGGGAAAGAGGGGGACAAGATAATACCCTAACTTCTGACGCGGTGAAACAAGTGCATTGTCGATGGTGTGGT